TATATATATATATATATATATATATATATATACATACACATTTATATTATATAATTATATTATATAATATACTATATTATATTTTATTTTAACCCCTATTTTATATTTACACTTTCAATATATTGTATAATATTACTTAATAAATTAGTGCTAATGTCACTTTATACACACTTGCAGGCGACGTCTCCAGTCTCTTCGTCTATGATACACGGGGCCCCTCGGCAGCGAAGACATCGGTCCGTCTCGCATTTTGGCCCCTCGTAGCGGGTGGGACACACACACTCCACGTGTCCCGAGCCGGACAGAGTGCAGCCTTTGGAGTTCACGCAATAATGGTGACAAATATCTGTCATCAGATAGAAAGAGAGACAATTATAATGAATCTGATCTGAAGCAATGTATGCCATATTCATATCTTACCTCCTCTTCAAATCAACTGACTAATTTCAAGTGCTTTAAGTGTCGAAATAGTGCTACTCGCAATTGATTCCAACAGTTTGACGTTTGCATGCTGCTAAGTTAACAGTGTGATAGCAGCCTACTAAGCAGGCCTACGATGTCGATAATGTTGCCTAATAGTAGACTAGGTATCAAAACTAAGCTAATGAACACTAAAAACAATCATGAAACAGGCTGATACTCACGGTGTTGACAGCGTTCTCCGGTGTATTCTGACAGACAGTGGCACACGGGTTGGTTCCCTAGGGTCACCTCACATGTGCCTCCGTTCAGACAGTAACTGTCACAAACACGCTTCTCACACAGAGGACCGGTGAAACCCAGAGCGCAGCGACACGTGGGCTTACCTGCAGGAAATACATTATTTTAGTGACTTTAAGTGTGGCTGCACTATTTTACCTGATTTGCATAATTTGCATAACTCCATAAACACACACAAATATATATATATATATATATACATACATGTTTTTTTTTTTTTTTTACTCAGAGTACATGATAAACCGAGCAGGTCATAACTGAGCACTAAAATTAAATTGAAAAACTGTTGTGACCTGTTATTTTAAAGTAAAATATTTCAAACTAATTATTTTAAAACGAACTAAAACTAATATTAGTTCATTAAAATAAAGCTGAAAAAATATATAAATATTAGGTGAAAATCTTAATATAATTTAAAAAAATATATATTAATAAAATAAGTACTAAAATTACTACAACTATAAAATAAAACAAATGATAATAAAAATGACAGAAGCACAAAACAAAATTGGCGTTCATGCGTCAGGGGAATTTCAATACCGCTCGTTAACTGGAACAATTACCAACTATCTAATTAACTGTCCAAAACCCTGAATTCCATGTGCGTGCAGTCTTTCAGTCAGTTGGAAATCCTGTAATCACTTACTCACACTCACGATGTTCAACACCCATTTCTTTTTTAAGTGGAACACAGGAGTTATTTGTAGTAAAATAAATAAAAATAGTGTATCTTTCTATCTAGAATTTTTACTTATTTTATAATGTAAATTTAAATTAATATTTAAATACTTCAAAAATTATATACAAATTATATAGATTTTGTTTTAACAATTTTTTAATATTCCAATAATAAATATACTATTTAAATGATGACCACTTTAATATGGAAGCCCGTTTCCACTGAATAAAAAAAGGTAATTGCGACGTTTTATCTCACAATTCTGACTTTTTTTTCTCATAATTGCGTGATACAAACTCGCAATTCTGACTTGTTTTTTCTCAGAATAGCGTGATATATACTCACAATTGCGAGTTAAAAAGTCATAATTGTGAGATATAAGCTCGCAATTCTGAGAAATAAAGTCAGAATTGTGAGAAAAAGTCACAATAACCTTTTTTTTATTTTTATTCAGTGGTGGAAATGGGCTTCTCAAATCTAAAAAAAAACAAAAAAAACATAAAAGTGGTTCACAATACTCATACACTACCGCATAGAACCACGTACTTATTTATTTGTTTATTTAATTTTTGGAGTCTGCAACTCTGGGTCACCATTTACTTTCATTGTATGGAAAAGAGCAGCATGAATATTCAGCTAAAATGTTCCTTTCGTGTTCCGCATAAGGTTTTGTACATGAGGGTGAGAAAATGATGAAAGAATTGTCATTTTTGTGGTTTATTGCCCAAGAAACAGTTATTACTGAGTCTAATGTCTATGAGAACGATGCCCGCCCTCAGTAAATCCTGGTAAATTTGGTGCTTGTAATAATAAATCTCACTGCTTGTTTATCATTTCGCTCTATTCAGAGAACTCAGGATGACCTGAAACAACTCAAGGCAACACAGGTGCTATATATTTCTGTTGCATTTCTTCACTGAACAGACAGAAAAAAGACTGAGAAATCCCTCCTGAATCAGATGTCTGCCTGTGGCCTACTTTGGATTCTGAGAGCAGACGAGAGCAGGCGTCAAGTAAACCCTGTTTGTTCCTGATTGTTTTGGGAATATTTGTGCACAATACGAGACTTTAATTATAAAATATGAATTATTACATAAAAAAAAGAGAGACCCCCCCCCACCCCAGAAACAGTAATTTATTTATTTATTTATAATACAAATTAATGTTTTTTTACACAACAAATAACAATTTTGCCACTAACAAAGATTATTTTTTTATAAATAGCTAGTGTACTTGTTTACCACAAAATGATGAACATACTTGAGATCAAATATGAGTAGAAAGGAGGCAGAAATATATGCACGATACAAACAATCTCCAGTTTACAGATGGGAAACAGAGCCTACCTAGTGGAGATCCTGTGCAAGTGCCTCCGTTGAGGCAGAAATCCTTACAGTGGCTGATTTCACATCGCTCCCCAGAGTAGTTCGGCCAACAGAAGCAGCGCGATTCCCCTCGTTCATTGGTGATACAACGACCTCCGTTCTCACAGGTCGGACGACAAAGATCTCCTAAAATGTAAATCATTCACTTAAAGGCACAGTATGTCATTTTCGCAGCTGGAGGGCGCGTATTCAAAATAAACAAGGAGACAAAGGCGTAGTTTGATGACGCCGTGACTGAGTGTGGAATCATGGGAGTTGTCGTCTTCAACCCCACAGCCGATGCAATCCGACGGGACTCGGGCAGAAATCATGCTCATGGATGAGCTAATGATTTATTAACGTAGTAGAATAAAGCAGGGTGAGGCAAAACGAGGCCGCTGAACGAGCGTGTCACACGGCTCGAAAGCTGCGGAGCTTTTATTATGCCACAGTTGACCGCTTCCGCTTCCGCTTCCGCTCCTTCCGGTCGTGCTGTTTTATCATACTAGATACGTTTGAAAGTTCTGTTATAATGCTATACTCTGTGCAGTCGTCACCGGTCTATTAAAATGCACAACATATTAAAGCGTCTTTGGTGTTTCCATGTTTTCTACAAAACAAAACCGGAAAACGAGGGGTTATGACACTATGGACACGATCCATGTCACTAGTTAAAATTGCTTATTTCTCTGGATTTAAACATTCATCGAAACATTTGGGATAATGTAAGTACACAAGTCAGCAAAATATATAACACTGTTCTAGTGGTTTTTGGATATTTTAATAAAAAAATCTTACATACTGTGCCTTTAAGCTTATTATAATTAGTAAGGACATTTTTACATGTATTTAGTTGCTTATAAAATCTGTATATAGGGACTAAAAATGACAATAAATTAGTTTTGTGTTTTATTTTATTAACCAGTTTTATTTAAAATACATTTATTGGATTTAAAATAATATTTTATATGACACAAATGAAAAAAGGCTTTGAGGAATGTATAGTCCAGATTACACTTATTGATATAAATGATCAATTTTAATATTGATAGATTTTAGTAAAGATTGCTGTTTATTAAATTTAAGCATTTGTATTATTGTGACGTATTGTGGCAAATACAAATAGTGTATATTGTATTATATTGTGAAGTATATATTAATTCTTGCTAAATTCTTTGTTTATAAAGCCAAACTTATCAAGACCTAAACTCTTTTCAAAATGTATGTATTAATTTTTCAAAATTAACTATTATTTCATTAGGATATATGAAAAATAACAATGCAGAAGTTATTGAGATTATTTTTTTCATGTTTGTTTGTTTATTTATTTATTTAATGTTTTATTAATATTTGTATATTTATTTACATTTTTCAATTATTTGATTATTGAAAATATATATCTGCATGTTACATGTTTGATTTGAGATTTCTTTGACCAGTCATAACATTTAGTTTTATTTATTTATTCTATCAAAAATGTATATTTGTGTTGTTATATATGCTCTGCTTGTTTCTAACATGCAAGTTTTATATTTTGTTTTGCCTTGTTTTTTGTACATTGATACGTTTTAGAAAGAAAGAAAGAAAGAAAGAAAGAAAGAAAGAAAGAAAGATAGAAAGAACTTTCGTGTTCCGCATAAGGTTTTGTACATGAGGGTGAGAAAATGATGAAAGAATTGTCATTTTTGTGGTTTATTGCCCAAGAAACAGTTATTACTGAGTCTAATGTCTATGAGAACGATGCCCGCCCTCAGTAAATCCTGGTAAATTTGGTGCTTGTAATAATAAATCTCACTGCTTGTTTATCATTTCGCTCTATTCAGAGAACTCAGGATGACCTGAAACAACTCAAGGCAACACAGGTGCTATATATTTCTGTTGCATTTCTTCACTGAACAGACAGAAAAAAAGACTGAGAAATCCCTCCTGAATCAGATGTCTGCCTGTGGCCTACTTTGGATTCTGAGAGCAGACGAGAGCAGGCGTCAAGTAAACCCTGTTTGTTCCTGATTGTTTTGGGAATATTTGTGCACAATACGAGACTTTAATTATAAAATATGAATTATTACATAAAAAAAAGAGAGACCCCCCCCCACCCCAGAAACAGTAATTTATTTATTTATTTATAATACAAATTAATGTTTTTTTACACAACAAATAACAATTTTGCCACTAACAAAGATTATTTTTTTATAAATAGCTAGTGTACTTGTTTACCACAAAATGATGAACATACTTGAGATCAAATATGAGTAGAAAGGAGGCAGAAATATATGCACGATACAAACAATCTCCAGTTTACAGATGGGAAACAGAGCCTACCTAGTGGAGATCCTGTGCAAGTGCCTCCGTTGAGGCAGAAATCCTTACAGTGGCTGATTTCACATCGCTCCCCAGAGTAGTTCGGCCAACAGAAGCAGCGCGATTCCCCTCGTTCATTGGTGATACAACGACCTCCGTTCTCACAGGTCGGACGACAAAGATCTCCTAAAATGTAAATCATTCACTTAAAGGCACAGTATGTCATTTTCGCAGCTGGAGGGCGCGTATTCAAAATAAACAAGGAGACAAAGGCGTAGTTTGATGACGCCGTGACTGAGTGTGGAATCATGGGAGTTGTCGTCTTCAACCCCACAGCCGATGCAATCCGACGGGACTCGGGCAGAAATCATGCTCATGGATGAGCTAATGATTTATTAACGTAGTAGAATAAAGCAGGGTGAGGCAAAACGAGGCCGCTGAACGAGCGTGTCACACGGCTCGAAAGCTGCGGAGCTTTTATTATGCCACAGTTGACCGCTTCCGCTTCCGCTTCCGCTCCTTCCGGTCGTGCTGTTTTATCATACTAGATACGTTTGAAAGTTCTGTTATAATGCTATACTCTGTGCAGTCGTCACCGGTCTATTAAAATGCACAACATATTAAAGCGTCTTTGGTGTTTCCATGTTTTCTACAAAACAAAACCGGAAAACGAGGGGTTATGACACTATGGACACGATCCATGTCACTAGTTAAAATTGCTTATTTCTCTGGATTTAAACATTCATCGAAACATTTGGGATAATGTAAGTACACAAGTCAGCAAAATATATAACACTGTTCTAGTGGTTTTTGGATATTTTAATAAAAAAATCTTACATACTGTGCCTTTAAGCTTATTATAATTAGTAAGGACATTTTTACATGTATTTAGTTGCTTATAAAATCTGTATATAGGGACTAAAAATGACAATAAATTAGTTTTGTGTTTTATTTTATTAACCAGTTTTATTTAAAATACATTTATTGGATTTAAAATAATATTTTATATGACACAAATGAAAAAAGGCTTTGAGGAATGTATAGTCCAGATTACACTTATTGATATAAATGATCAATTTTAATATTGATAGATTTTAGTAAAGATTGCTGTTTATTAAATTTAAGCATTTGTATTATTGTGACGTATTGTGGCAAATACAAATAGTGTATATTGTATTATATTGTGAAGTATATATTAATTCTTGCTAAATTCTTTGTTTATAAAGCCAAACTTATCAAGACCTAAACTCTTTTCAAAATGTATGTATTAATTTTTCAAAATTAACTATTATTTCATTAGGATATATGAAAAATAACAATGCAGAAGTTATTGAGATTATTTTTTTCATGTTTGTTTGTTTATTTATTTATTTAATGTTTTATTAATATTTGTATATTTATTTACATTTTTCAATTATTTGATTATTGAAAATATATATCTGCATGTTACATGTTTGATTTGAGATTTCTTTGACCAGTCATAACATTTAGTTTTATTTATTTATTCTATCAAAAATGTATATTTGTGTTGTTATATATGCTCTGCTTGTTTCTAACATGCAAGTTTTATATTTTGTTTTGCCTTGTTTTTTGTACATTGATACGTTTTAGAAAGAAAGAAAGAAAGAAAGAAAGAAAGAAAGAAAGAAAGAAAGAAAGAAAGAAAGAAAGAAAGAAAGAAAGAAAAATAAAATATACAGTCCATTAATTATTCTTTGGTTCTGGTCTACGTCTGATTTCCGTTGCTAGGGTGCTCTGGGTGGTTGCTAAGGTGGTTCAAGTTTCCCGTCCCCTCGGACTGAATCAATGCTATAAACACGATCGCTGTCTTTTCTAGCACATGGGCTTCAGGTGGATTGCATGTGTGGGCAAAGGGCCCAGAATAGTAAACACTTCAGTCAAAATCACTCAAATGAAACATTCCAGTTTGACATGCCAGGGCCTCTCTGTTAGTGATGTAAGAGCATCCTGCCGAGCACGTTTTGACAGATGTACCTGAGATGTTGGTGTCCGTGCAGGTCCTGTTCAGCAGAATTTTCCCCTCAGGACACACACATCTGGCCCCACTGGGGTTCAGGAGGCAAAGGAAAGCACAATTCATCTTTGCACATGGATTGGACACTGAGAGAGAGAGGGAGAGATGAGAAAATAAACACGGAATGTATATATATATTTTTTTTTTTTTGCACTTTCAAATGAGGACGATCATGTAGACACTGATTCAAAAATCAGTTGAAACAAAATGTAAAAAAAAAAAAAAAGCTACATCGCTAATAAAATACAATTAACTGTTAAAAATTGCAAAATATGAACTGAAGTTTAAAAAATACATTAAAAAAATAAAATAATTCCACTAAATATATATTTAGCAGTTTCCTCAACACATGGGTGACACACTAAAAAAAAAGACAGGAAGACAAAATATTAATTGAAGTTTAAAAAATACATTTAAAAAATTTAATAATTCCACTAAATATATATTTAGCAGTTTCCTCAACACATGGGTGACACACTAAAAAAAGAGAGGAAGACAAGAGGAAATGAACATGACAGGATATACAATGCTTTCTGCTCTTTCGATTAGTTTGAATGCACAGTTCAAGGAAAAAGTCCTCTTCCAAGTGAATCTTTAGTGCAGCAAAACTTAGTTAAATTTAATCAAACAACAAACAAAAAAAAACATAATTAACCCAGCTCAAAAGATTAGTGAATCTTTAGTGTCCATGACAGGATATACAATGCTTTCTGCTCTTTCGATTAGTTTGAATGCACAGTTCAAGGAAAAAGTCCTCTTCCAAGTGAATCTTTAGTGCAGCAAAACTTACAGTTAAATTTAATCAAACAACAAACAAAAAAAAACATAATTAACCCAGCTCAAAAGATTAGTGAATCTTTAGTGTCGAAAAATGTTTAGTTTAATTGTTACAACAAAACAAAATGTAACTAAACCAGTTAAAAAAAATAAATCAGTGAATCTTTAGTGTAGCAAAATATTTAGTTCTGTCAGGACCACTATCGTCAAAGATGATTGACAATTAGCATACAGTTTGGATTGGCGGTATGGTTCCGTTCTGAGCAAGAACTCCCTGCGCATCCATGCAGCCTAGCATGGATGAGAGCAGGGAGAGCAGCGATAACCCCCCAGGGTAAACAGAACAGAACCAACATAAATTTATTGCAGATATCGTTAAAGTTCAATAATGTTATATACACATTTTAGAATTAGTCTTATTCAAAGGAGAATCAGAAGACTGAATCCTGACTGATAGAGGAGGAGCTGGGGATGGAGGAGCGTAATTAGCTATTGAGCAATGCAAAAACTGCTGATAATACTGAGGGACCTTATATATGAATGCTTAGATGGGTGTCGTATTCCCATAGCTTGATGGGGATCAGCTGAGAGTCAGCTGATGTGAGTTTGACTAACGTGACCTGCCAGAAATAACGCTACGCTAGATTTAAACTGAAACAAAACAAAATAAAAAACATTATTAAACCAGTTCAGTGGTTCAAATCAGTGAATCTTTATTGTAGTGTAGTGTAGCAAAATATTTAATTAAACTGATAAAACAAAACCAAACAAAGCAGAGTAAAATGTAAATTTAAACAAGTAAAAATTAATAAATTAATAAACGAAAAAAATCAGTGGATCTTCAGTGTAGCAAAACAGTTAGCTATTTTTTTGTAATAAAATACATATGTAAAATAAAATAAATATAAAATTTATTTAAATACATTTGCAGTTTCGCCGCAAAACTCATTATTCTGTATCTGAATGCCTTGATCAACATCAGTGTAATTTACTCAGCAGAGGCAAGCCAATCATAAAATAGGTCATTTGCAGATGGTCTTAAAGGTACAGTAGTAAAACAGGCTGTTTAATTTATAAAAAAAAAAACATTATATGTGGAGATCAGAGAAATGTTATGCTACAAAAGAGCAGAACATTGTGTCTTTCATACCACCAGCATATTATTCGCCAGAAAGATGAAATTCTCCTAGCATATAACAAACTATCTATCTAAAAGCTTTTAGTTGGTGGTGTAATGTGTGCATGTGAGAGATATTATTTGTTTGTCTTTTTATTTTAGCTTTTGCAGGTTGTTTTGAAGAGCATCTTCAATAAAGCTTCCCAGTGTATAAAAGCACATCAGGGAGCGATGACACTTCCCATTACAGCAGCACAAAGACAAACAACACAGGCTAAGATCCCTCCATCCCTCCTGCTTTAAAACGGAGAGAGAGATCAGCACAGGATAAGAGAAGAGAGTACAGTGAAAAAAGAAACCTAATGGAAGGAAGAGGAAGGAAAACACACATAAAGAGACTAAAGGATAAATAGGAGCAGGGACACACTGGTCACAAAAGAAACATATAAACTAAAAAGACTCTAGAATATAAATCCAGAAATGCTGTCAGAACAGATAAAAAAGAAGAAACATTTCAAACAAATTTAACCCGCAATGTGTGATGCATTTCCATACAAAATAGCATACGGCACACAAAATTGGAAACACTTCAGGAGTTTCGAAGTCGTCATCGGATTGGTTGAAATATACAGGATTTCCGGGAGACGTGTGTGTTGCGTTCTTTAGCGTTCCGCTTGGAAACAAAGATGCCGTGATGATGTGTCTACAACTGTGACAATGAGCGCTTATCATGATCAACTAAACGTTGGATTTTCAAATGTATGTGAAACATGTAAAGTTCGCAGCATAGACTCTTTTAAATACGCCCAAGAGTTTTACACACCGGTCTGTTATTGTGGGGATATTTCCACACCCCTAAACATGACACGGCACAAAACAAAACCTGATTGGTTGCTTTAACTGTCAGTCATATGTCTGCAGTTAAGCACAGCTGTACCCTGAGTGAGCCAAGAAGAGAGCTTATCTGATGATCTTGAGACATATGCTTCCTTCAAGTTTCCTCGAAGGACAGAAAAACACAAAATGCTGTAAGAAAGTTAGCACACCGTTATCTTTGTGACACCGGTGTCTGTGACATCAGACTGAGGAGCCAACTTTCATCCGAGCATGTGGACATTATTGTTTTTCTCAAAATTAACATGTGAAACAATATAAACATAATAAACAATAGGCTGACCCGAGTTTAAGTACGTTCTGTTCTGTAATTGGCATGGTGGACACAGTTGTGTATATGGGGCAGTCGTGGCCTAATGGTTAGAGAGTCGGACTCGTAACCCGAAGGTCGTGGGTTCGAGTCTCGGTGCCAGCAGGAATTGTAGGTGGGGGGAGTGAATGACCAGCGCTCTCTTCCACCCTCAATAACACGACTGAGGTGAGACCCTTGAACCCCCAACTGCTCCCTGGGTGCCACAGCAAAAATGGCTGCCCACTGCTCCAGGTGTGTTCACTACTGTGTGTGTGTACACAAATTCCTAGTTTGGGACACCATTCTTGGCCTCACATCACTTTCACTTATATATATTTATATTTGTTTACACACATTTTTAACTAAAAGAAAACCTTGAGATATAACGTAATGTTGTTGTAGAACATAAAAAATTTGATTATTAAAAAATAACGTCTTTCTAGTTAAACATCATTTAAATCACTGCAGATCGGCCGGGATGCAGCGGTGATTGGCACAGGAGAATTCGGACTTCCCGCATGGCCTCGGCCTTTTGACCACGTCCGCTAGAGAAAAGAAAGAAAGAGGGATGGTTTAGAGAAAAAAAAGACCAAAAGAAAAGGAATTGAAGTTCCCAACTCACCACAGTCAACTTCGTCTGAATTGTCGCCACAGTCATTCACTCCGTTGCAGATTTGTTCGGTCCGCAGACATACTCTGTCATTCCTGCAGTGGAACGGTCTGTTTGGAGGACATGGCAACTTTCCTATAGGCCGAAACACACACACACACACACACAGTAATCATAACCAATGTTTTTCTTTACAGAAGTTATCTTCTGCCTTTTTGTGGTTTATATCGTTTCAAATGTTGGTAAAGTGTTTGAAAAGTGCTCCAAGAGCAATTTTTTTGAAATTTTACTGCCAGGCCTACAGCGAAAACAATTTTCAGAGAAACAAAATCACTGTTTAGTGCAGTTCAGGTGTTCAGTGTCAGGTTTAATAATGTGTGTTCAGGATGGTCAATGTGTCCTGTATTGATTTTCTGCCTTTTTTTTTGGTGAGGTCATACTCGCATGACCTTATAAATGTGATCCACTTCAAACCAGACACTGACACTCCTGAAGTAAACACTCGAACCTGGCATGCTCAATATAATATTAGCAACAAATTTCATAAGAAATGTATCATTTCATATTTAAATGATATTATTATGAAATAAGAAAAGCTTTCAGAAATTATTTTACGATTCAAGAGGACATCTAGTACTCTATGAAAAAAAGAAGTAAATTAAATAAATATTTATTTAGTAAATGTAAATAAACATACACATATATATATATATACACATATACATACATGCATACATACATATATATATACACACATATATATACACATATATATATATATATATATATATATATATATATATATATATATATATATATATATATGTATTTATTTATTTAATGAATTAATGACTGAATGAGTAAATAAATTTTTATGTGACGTCAGTAGAAAAAAAGAGTTGTATGTGGAATTTAAATAAATAAATAACCAAAGCAAAACAAATATGAAGTTAAAAACAACACATAAAAATGTGCCAAACATAAAGAAATCTAAAATGTTAAACCAGACAAAATAAAAACAAACCAAAACCAAACTGAAAAATGAACCAAAAGACATACACAAAAAATGAACAGCTGAAAAACTAAACCAAACCAACCACACAAACAAACAAACAATAAATATATAATTATATTAAATAAATATTACATAATAATAAATATAAAAAAGAAAAATAATAAATATTTATATAAAATAAATAAAAAAGATGATTTCAGTGGGAAAAGTGTCACGATAAAAATAAATATAATAATATTAACATATAAACCTTTTTTAATAATTAAATAAATGATATTTACTTTAATGAATGAGTGAATTAATAAATTAATTTGTATGTGACTTCAGTGGGCAAACAATTGCAATTGTAAAAAACAGAAGTTTTAAGATGTTAAATAAGTATAAATATTTTAAAAAGTAATTACTATAAATAAAACGACTGAAACTAAACAAAAATAAATATGTGTAAATAAACCAAAACTAAAACAAAGTGCACACCAAAAAACAAAACAAAACAAAAATAACATCAAAGCACATTAACAAACAATAAACAAAATAAATAAGTTTTTATACAGTGTGACTTCAGTGGAAAAGAATCATACCAAGCTAACTAGCCATAAACGTACCGCACATGTTTGAATCTTCATCAGAGTTGTCTCCGCAGTCATCCTCACCATCACACAGCCAGACCAGCAGCTTACACAGCGTGTTGTTGCAAACAAACTCGTCTGCACGGCACGCCAACGACCCTGCAAGCAAAAGATTTGACTTACTACATTTCAACGCCACAACACATGTACAAAATTAACAAGTTCAACAAATCACCGTGTTACAAACAGTATTCAGATGATGATGCTGTTTGGGTGTTGCAGTTTTATGGACATTTGATTTTTCATTCTGCTCATTTTATGTAAGAGTTTAATATGTGCAATAATTCTCACTTCAAAGAACATGAGATCTGGGCTCTTGCCGTTTCAAAAAAGTAACGGGACACTAATTTGCACCTTTTTCAGGGAAAGTTTTTGAACATATAATTACACGACTTGTGAAAGGATTTGAATTTATTGAACTATATCTTATCTGCAACTTTGAGCATTTTGATGTTTTTAAAATAAATATGAATTTAATCTTTAATTAACCATTTGAATGGGTTCACGTTATTTTCACATGGATATAAAAAAAGATATTCATTTGGCTTGTATCGGGAGCAGTTTGTGCATCCATATAGCTTTCTATAAAGACATCTAACCATTCATGTTATTTGTAAAGATTTATTTCAAAGCGATTTTTGTTGCTTAAATAAATAAATAAATCCCAGCTGGCATTGAGATGCTTTTAATCACCATCAGCTGAAAAGACACTTTTACTTCCTTTAACAACAAGCGACAAAACATTCTATAAACCCTGATGATGAAATTTATGGAGCCTATTTAGTTCCTCAGGTACAGTGAAGCACAAGCATTACAGAGATTGTCAAAGCAAAAGCATCAGCCGGGGAAAATAAGAATGATTTTAACCTATAAAATGACCTGAGATGAGTTTTTGTGGTGGCTTTTACAGGCCTAAGTTTGGATCCGAGTTCAGAAAGCATGTTTTATACCAGCTTAAAGAGGCTGTTAGACTAAGAGCATTGCTTTTTTTGAAAATGCGTCCTGCTTTTCTCACCCTGATCCCTCTTTCTTTGTCGTCAGGTCTGAGCGAGAGAATTTTCTGGCAGGTGTTTGACAGAAATGGACATTAATATCACAAAGTTTCCCTGAATAAAAGACGACGCCCTGATGCTGGACCAAAACACGGCAGAAGGGTGCAAACGCAAGACTCACAAATGACCGCACTTAAAATCAAAATTAAACTGCACTTTAAACATGTTTTAAAAAAATCTGTTTTTTTTTTTTTAAGCAAATGTCATGAATGAAAGGAAATTAAATTACTAAAACTGTCTCCCATTTAGGCTTTTTATGCCCTACACTAATGAAAATAATTACATGTGGGGGGGGGGGAATCAAGACAAATCAATAACATTTTAAATAAATCAATTAAATCAAATGAATGAACTAATATAATTTCAATTATAATAAATATTTACATTTGTTTTTCACTTTATTTCCTACACAACAAAAATAAAGAACAACAAAGATTTATGTGGATAATAATAAACATTGATTGATTGATATTTTATGTAATAACAACATCAAACTCAACTAAAAACGAATCTAAAAGCTATTTTAGCGTTTAGCTTTTAGTGGACTTTGAAGATTGGTTGTTTTGCAAGCAAATATGTAACAATGCCCTAGCAACCTCAGCAGGGGCGCGGGAAGATGCTTTCGGTTGGGGGTGCTGTGTGTG